TCTCTCTCTCTCTCTCTCTCTCTCTCTCTCTCTCTCTCTCTCTCTCTCTCTCTCTTAGACAAGATCTCTAGTACAAGCTAGCCTCCAGGTCCCAATGAAGCTAAGAATGGCCTGGAAATTAGTGTTGTCCTGCCACCACCCCAGAGTACTAGGATTAGAGGTACTTGTGCCTGAGCTGTACCGTGAGCAAAGTAACACATCTGAACATAGGATAAGTGGCATATAACATTTTAAAGCACAGGAGACAGAAGCTTGCATCTGGAAAAGGTATATATAACAGAACACCAATGCAGTGAGAGGTGGTAACTGCTCAGAAAGAAAATGACACATTGCTTGTGGTGCACCCTCTAATGCATTCAGCTACATTTCCATGCTCTGCACACCTCCCTACAATATAAATTATTTGCAAAGTCTTTCTTGTAAATGTCCTTGCTTGTAAATATTACCCAGTGGTCAAGCATATTCTTTACAAGTGATTATTCTGTAAGACAAAAACTACATTTACTAGGATTAAAGTATTAACATTTACTTGGCAATGTGTCATTAATAAACCCTGTGAATTGATTCAAAGTCTAAAGTAAGGGCACTTTGGGGATTTACATTGCTTTTCACTGTTTTTTTTTTTCTTTAAAAAGTTTATCTTCAAATGTCTGCCCTAGACTTTGACATAACTTCAGCTACAGCACTTTAATTTTCTCATGTAATGGTACATATGTTTCTTTTAGAATAGGTATGGCTTTTATGATCAACGAAAATGAGACAGAATATAGTCTTACCCTGGTGTGTGTCCGAATGTGCATCTTCAGTCCATCATTTTTACTGAATCCTTTTTCACAGTAAGGGCATTGATAGGGACGCTCACCTACAAACAAAGGAAGCCTCCAGGTCAGAGACAGGTCAAGCAGAAGCACATCCTCAGTGCCACTGCTCCTCAGGGGGGCTCACTGGCACGGAGATGGTACCAGCACAGCTGGGCATCAGAAGTACCTTAATACAGGAAGCACACACTGGGGCCTGGGGCATTCCCTCCAGCCCAGCCTGGCTAACACCTGGAAACAAACAAGCAGTCCACAGGTCTGCCGCATGACCTTCTAATACATGGATCCAATTAAACACACTAATTTTAAGACCTTGTAAAAAATATTTTGTATCAGTCTGTTCTGTGACCATGATCCTCATTATGGAGGTCTTTAACTTTTTTTTTTAAATAACTTTGCCTATAAAGGTTTCATATAAATAAATGTAGCTCATGTCTATGCATTTCAGACTAATCCCATAAAGCTGGTGCATGTTAAACAGAGTCACTGGTATTTAAACTACACAACAACCGACCCGCACTTTTCTATATAACCAAGTAGCTCTAAATTAAGGCTGTAATTTGGAAAATGGGAAGGATGTTTTTCAAAGCAAGCAAGACCACACATATAGTCTACCCCACCCCAAAAAAGGAAAACAAAACTTCTATTTAAAAATGACAAAATGTGACAAAAACAAAAGACAAAATCTAACATGTAAAAAAAAATTCAAGGCTGTACTTGTCAAAGCATAATTATTTACAATAATAAGTTAGGTCCACATCTTCAGTTGCCTTTATTCTTTCACTGAACAATAGACAAACATGACAAGCATTATAAGATGCTAGAAACTTGCTACATTCCAAGATCAGCAAAGGGAAGGGAAGAAGAAAATGTCCTCAGCAAGAATAAATCTTCTGTCTTTTCTAGCCTCAGGGTCAGTGTCCTCTGCTCTTTAGAATTGAACCTGAGCATCACATGAATTATTCCAATGACCCCACCAGGGCAGAGGTGAGCTCCTTGTCCTTCAACCTCACCATTTTCCCAGAAGGGGCCTTACTTCACCTCTCCCATACCTTTCTCCTCCCCCACCTCTTCACCTCGTCACGAGATGAGACTCAGGACCGATCTAAGGTACACTGGGTCTGCCCATACGGAAATACCATACGGTGGCATTTTCCAGCTTCCCCCATTCTAAGGATATCATCTTGGCCATTGTTTAAATCACAGCCTCAGAGTGACAGGCAGTCAGTTATGTCAAAAGAGTATGGATCAACTGTAGCTTAAGTCCCAGTGGTTCAAATGGCACCATAAAATGGTTGCAACCATCCATAAGGGAAAGAAAATAGAAACGGCAATGTCAGCCAAAGCAGGAACGGGTATCTTCAGTAAACGATGCATATCTACCAGCTACTGTAAAAGAAACAAACTTCTGGCACTAGGCAGTACACCTGGAATGCTTGAAGTAATAATTGTGACTGTAGGACATGTGGCTTTTCATGGCACAATAAAGCATTATAACTTCTCATTTTAATAAGATGATAATCATGTGCTTATATTACTTCCCATCTCTATTGAGCCTCAGTCTCTATATACCAAGCTGTCTAACATTTGTATACCTAATAAATAACTCAAATTCTGCATGCATCACTCTAAATTTATGATCTTACCTTCTGTTCTCATGTGTTCCAAATACACTTTCCTGCTTAGCTGTGTGGATTTATTCAGATATCAAACAACAACAAAACCCCCATACATCCATACTGTACAGCAAATCCTAAATAAGATGTTATTCACTCTTGCCATAAAATTGAACATAAGTATGTGTAGCAATGTGAAGTCATAGTTGTGTTCATTTAATTTATTTTAATAACTATTTATTATTTATTATGTCTCCTAATAGTGTGAATGACTTGAACACACACAATAAAATTTATTGAAAAGGAGAAACTTGAGAACTGTCAAAGATACCTCCTTTTAACTCAGTTCTACATAGATCAGTCTCCAGTCATAATGATACCGTGGGATGCTTGTGGTGGTATTGTGTTCCCCAAATTATTGTGCACCCTAATAAACTTATCTGGGGTCAGAGACAGAATAGCCACTAGATACAAAGGCTAGAAAATGGTGGCTCTCACCTTTAATCCTAGCACTCCAGAGGTAGAAATCCCTCTGGATCTCTGTGAGTTCAAGGCCACATTGGAAATGGCCAGGCATGGTGACACACGCCTTTAATCCCAGAAAGCAAGTCTTTAATCCCAGGGAGTGGTAGTAGAGAGCAGAAAGGTATATAAGGTGTGAGGACCAGAAACTAGAAGCATTTGGTTGGTTAAGCTTTTAGCTGGTTAAGCTTCAGGCTTTCAAGCAGCAGTTCAGCTGAGAGCCATTGGGATGAGGACACAGAAGCATCCAGTCTGAGCAAACAAGACTAGCTGAGAAGTTGGACAGGTGAGGTTAGCTGTGGCTTGTTCTGTCTCTCTGATCTTCCAGAGTTCACCCCAATACCTGGCTCAGGTTTGATTTTATTAACAAGACCATCTAAAATTCCTGCTACAGAAGCTCCTCAGGATGACTGGAATATGAAGACATTAACAGTAGTGCACCTATTAGGTTTGCAGCAGGACCTGGGGTGCAGTGGAACATGCCATTTATTGAGTTATTGAGCATTTAACATAACCATCCACAGAAGTATCAGGACTGTAAAAAACAGCATACACTCATGCTAATGGTCTTATTCCTGCAGCATAAAAATTCAAATGACTTCATCCTCCTCCTCATAAAATCTTACAAGTAATTTTAACAGTCTTTGGTGGTTTTAATTTTTGTTTTTGTTTTTAAGACAGTGTCACTCTATAGAGGGCCTGGAACTTACAATATAGACAATTCTTGCCACAAATTCAAAAGCAACCCTCATGTTTCTGCCTTGTACTAAGATTATAGGCATTATCATACAAAGCTAATATTTAGACTCTTAAAAGTACATTTATTTCATTTATTTTACTTTATTGATATTAAGGAATGCTGAGCTGTTTCTTTCCTCTTTAACTATTAATAACTGAATTCATCAGCAAATCAAATCTAGATTGCAGATAAAGAATGATAAAAACAAAAAGTTTGAGGGCAGAATAGATTGCTTAGAGGTTAAAAGCATTTGTAACTTTTGCAGAGGACTTGGCTTTGATTCACAATATCTACTTCGTGGTTCACAATCATCTGAAACTCTATTACAAGGTATCTGAAGTCCACATATTAACTCTACACTTACCTGGCATGCACATGATGCATATTCGTACATGAAGGCAAAACACTCAAACACATACATTTTTTAAAAAAATTTAAAAATTTGAAATGATACACAGACAAATAATTTTTCTTGCAAATAATGGTGTACCTATTTCTCCTAATTTGAAACATTCTCTCCTGGATGCAGGAGGGAGACTTATAAGACTCAGGAAGTAAACAAACCTTACAAGGCCCAGGAAGTCCCTGGGAATTACATGACTCTCAAGGCCCCTCCCCAGGGTTATGTCAGCAGTAGCAACTTCTGGGGAGAGAATGTCCTATCAGCCAAGCTGTCTTCACTATGATGCAGCGAGCTCTTGGGATATAACTTTCATGAATTTTGACCCATGCTCTAGGGTGGGGTTTTAGATGCAATTGTCTTTGAATCACTCAGGTAACCCCCTATTCATAAACCCCTTACTCTAAAAGTAAGTCTAATACACTAACAGATTCCTTAATCACTCATTCATTTATTAGGTGGAATTGTTGTTTTGGGCTGATGCCAGCACTCTATTGAGGATAGAGAGACATTCACTCACATCTCTCCAGAAGAATTAACACAAATGGTGCTAAGCTTTATTCATAGTAGCCAGAAACCAGGAAAAACCTAGATGCTCCTCAACCAAAGAACGGGTAAAGAAAATGTGGTACATTTACACAATAGAGAATTGCTCAGCTGTTAAAAACAATGACATCATGAAATTTGCAGGCAAATTGATGGAACTAGAAAAATTCAACCTGAGTCAGGTAATCCAGACTCAGAAAGACAAACATGGTAATAACTCACTTATAAGTGGCTATTAGCTGTAAATTAGAAGATAAGTAACAAGGAAGAGTTAAAAAGGAATGCAAGGATCTCCATGGGAAGGGGAAATGGAATATATTTCTCAGGTGAGCTGGGGGTAAGTAGGGTTGGGAACAGAAGAGATCAGGTGTAGGGGAGAAAATACTGGGAGAAATGATTGGAATTAGGGGGGCACTTCAGGGACAAGGTGGAGACTTGGTACAATGGAAACTCCATGGAATCTACAAGAATAACCCTAGCAAAGCTCCTAGTAAAGGGGAACACAAAGCCTATACCAGCCAATGCCTCAAGTGGGATATCAACTCAGCCACAAAACCTTCGACCTATAGTTTGTCCTGTCTGAAGAGTGTTCTGGGACCAGAGCCTAGAAGAATCATCATCAAAGAGACCAGAGAGTCTTCATCCAGCAACTCACAGGAGCAGATGCAGAGTCCCACAGCCAAGCATTAGACAGAACTCCAGGAGTCCTGTGGAGGCAGGGAAGGAAGGCTTGGAGGAACCAGAGGGATCAGGGAAACTATGAGAACATGGCCCACTGAATCACCTGACTGGAACTCATAGGAGCTTGCAGAGATCAAGGAGCCTGTAGGGGTCTGATCTAGGTCCTTTGTATATATGTTGTGGTTGAGTAGCTTGGTGTCCTTGTGGGATTCCTAACAGAGGGAGCAAGGGCTGTGTCTGACTCTTTTGCCCACTTGGGACTCTTTTCCTCCTACTGGGTTGCCTTGTCCAGCCTTGACGTGATGGTATGTGCCTGGTCTTGTTGCAGTTTGGTTGATGTGCCTGGAAGCCCTGTTCTTTTCTGAGGGGAGGTGGAGGGGAGGTGGATCTGGGCGAGAGGGGAGGAGGATCTGGGGGAGAGGGGAGGTGGAGGGGAGGTGGATCTGGGGGAGAGGGGAGGTGGGGAATAGAGGCTGGGGGAGGAGAAACTGCAGTCTAGGTCAGGGTATAATATACGAAAGAAGAACAAAAAAAATTAAA